CTGGATGCTGCCCCCGTGGGTCCCACAGATCTGCTTTGCAGTCCATGTAAAGTGGAGACATGGCTTACCTACACCATCGTCTACAACATACCAGAAGTTCCTCTGATAAGTCATCGCCCCAGCTTCATGATCCTTCCCAGGCCTATCATTCTCATCCTTTTAACCCTGTTTATCTCCAATTTTCTCCCATTCTTGTTCTTGCTTAAGAGACAAGGTAGAGTGGTTTATGGGAATTTCTGTAGAAACATGGGAGTGAGCTGTTATCCTGAAATTGCATGGCCTTGGCCACACACAAACCTCACTTTTAGGGCTTCTACTCTCTTACAAATTATGACTCATCTCCTTATGGACAAGAATTCTGTCTTTCTTTTCTTTTTCTTTTTTTTAGTTGTCGATGGACCTTTATTTTTATTTTTTTAATATGTGGTGCTGAGAATCGAACCCAGTGCCTCATATGTGCTAGGCAAGTGCTCTACCACTGAGCCACAACCCCAGCCCCTACATTCTGTATTTCTAATCAATATTGCCTTTATTAATTGGGTATTATTTCTGACCTCCTAATACAGAGACAATATTTTAATTTATTTTGCCTTTCTAAAAATGCAAACATTTCATGTATAGATTAATGTACTTGGCCATGGTTTGGCATTTCTTGAGATTTTAGGATATCAGACAATCTGATTTCCTGACAAATGGAAGCCATCTCCCTTTTGGGCTGTAGGTGTGGGTATTTGAGAGTCGGCTGGCTCCTTTCCTCTCTCCCTGCTGTTGTTGTCTTCTTTTGCAATTAGTGATATTATCTGTTCTTTTGAACAACTAACAATTAGAGTCACCCTTTGATCAACATAGCGATAGCTTTTTCATCAGCATTACCACTTTGCAAGGCCTTTGTTTGAAAATTAAGAACACAACTGGCATCATTTGCTTTCTTTGGTTCCTTCTGCTTTACAGCTTATTTTCTCAGATGTTTTCTTTTGTAATCAGGTTGTGTGTGTGGGTGTGTGCAAGCAGGGGCCAGAGGAGTTGTCTTCATTACTGTTTATTTCTTCTTGATGCCACATATGTAGCTGGCAGACCTAACTCTTTTCTCAATGTAAGGTCTGACATGCCTTGCAGCTGTAATCTGTGAGCACATGTAACCTCTGAGAATGTTATCTAGGGAAGGAATGTTCCAATGGGTGGTGATGGCATTCCAACACGAGCTGAGCATGCACACTGGGAGTTGAAGTGGGGAAAGCCTGGCTGGAGCGTGGGGGGCATTGACTGCTCAGCATAGGGGGCAGTGGGGGTGCAGCGAGAGGACCTGGGCATTTCTGAGGAAGCAATGGCAATTGACTAAGTAGAGCAGAGTTCAGGAGAGGTTGGGGGAAGTAACTCTGAAGATATGGAAACCAATGAAGAAACTTCTGGAAATTCAGGTGTGGAGTGACCCACAGACCATCCAGAGGAACCTAGCCCTGGCTGCAGGGGCTAATCACCAATCAGAAACAGCCCAGCATTGGGTTCTTGCTGAACTGCTTTTCAGTTATAAATTCCATCCCACTGATCTATGGAGCAGTTTCAGGACAATCTCTATCTAAGCGAGAGAAAGGGAATACACTGTTAATATAAAGAACAGTTTATCCCAAAGGCTGAATGTTCTCTCTGATACGTGAACACTAACACACCAACAAGCAGGGAGGACAGAAGAAGAAGTTCTTTGCATTAGACAACAGGGAAGGAAGGGAAGGGAGGGGGGATGGGACTGGGAAAGACAGTAGAATGAATCGAACATCACTTTCCTGTCTTCATACATGAATACATGACCAGTGAAACTCCACATCGTGTACATCCACAAAATGGGATCTAATTAGAGTAAGTTGTACTCCATGTGTGTATAATATGTCAGAATACACTCTACTGTCCTCTATATCTAAAAACAACAAATTAAAAAGAAAACAGGTAGGGTCTATGGAAGAGCTTATGCTTTTATGAGGAATGAATGTGTTTTCTTGTGGGAAGCATTTGTGCTCTTGGGAAGTCCTGAGAGAGTGGATTGTTACAATGTCGGGCCACCCCACTTGCCGGGCCCCTTCTGCATGTGTCCCTTCACATTTCCCCACATGTTGATACACAGAGGGAGTTGGGGAGGCTCTTCAGAAGCAGAACAGATGTGGCAGCCCGATCTTGGACTTCCAACCTCCAAAACTGTGAGCTAAATGAATCTCTTTTCTTTATTAAAAAAAAAAAAAGAAAAGAAAGTTTATCACCCCATGTCCTTTGTCTTGTAACATGACTAAAGCTGACTCAGCTATTCTAGCCTGCTCTGAGACACAATCTTCATGTTACTTCCAACTCTGACTCTGATATGACTCAATGCAGCGTTCTGTCTGGAGACACTTTAGTACTGAGCACAGAACTGATGTGATGTTAAACACAACAATATGTCTGTGGAAACTCATCTTTATTATTCTTTTAACTTAATTCTTTTAATAGTGGGAAAGATAAAAAAAAAGACTCATGCATCTATTCTGTCAGTAGAATTTTCTCCAAGTATGTGCATTATTTTCGTAGGTACCTAACTTCGATGGTAAAGCAGGATGGACAGCTGCTACTTTTCCTGTAACACACAGGTAGTGAACTTGACAGGGTTGGAGGAATTCAAAGGCCTGATATGTGATAGACCCCAAAGCATTGAATCTTAATGGCAGGGGGCAGCTGTGCAGAAGAGAAATGGAGGCTTGACCTCACATTTCCTGGAAAGATGTGTCTTAACCATCTTGGGCAGAAGTCAGGGCAATAGCAACATGTTATGGTCTCACAAACAAGGGAAGAGGATAACAGAAAGATGTAGAGATAATCTCTAAATACTGGCGCTCTTTTAGCTCACTTCAATACTTTCCTTTTTTCCTCTGGAAGAAAATCAAGATGACTAAAGAGTATTTTTTTAATCTACAAGGTTTACTCTCTAAAATCAATGTTGTTTAGATGATTCATATTCCTTGAGTTTTAGAAAAATAAGAATTACACAAGTGTACTCCTGTGATGTAAAAATACCATCGTCAAACTGTTCACATTATTTAGAACTAGAATAAGTTACATTAAGTATTGGATTCCCAAGAGGGAAGAACCTTATGTTCAAATAAAGATGTGTGAATTTTTACCGTTGCTATATGAACATTAAAGTTTTATTTGGATTTTCATCAAATTTGAAATATTCCAGAAAACCTGACTTCAAATGTTGCTAGGGAATAGAAATAAGTTTTAGCCTGGTAATTGGCAATAGCTCCCCAAAGATAAGCAGGTTTTCCCCCCAGCATTTGCAGATATTGATTTGCCAAGAAACTGATGTGCACATGGTCACATCTACACAGTGTGCTTCAGAGTCAAGAGTAGCAGGGAGTTATTAATTCAGAGATGGTTAATTATTCTTTTCAAAAACAAAAGTTAGGTTAATTGATTAGTGCATAAGTAGCAATTATCAATGTTTAAAAATTCCACACTGTGACTGAAGCATCCATTTTCAACTAATAGTCTTGTCAGCATTTTCAAATCTATCATTAAAGAGAGATGTCCTGAGAAAGTCCAGGGTTGAGTACCCATGATATCTCATAAATGAAAAATTAAAAACTTTTAAAAAGAAAAAATAAAACTTCTGTAACATATGCTGAACATTTTAAGTCAATTATGCATTTTCAAGTTTGCATCATAGTTAAGTTCCAAAATCCTGTTTAAAGTTCAAATAGAAAGCACATGTATTCATGCTATTCTGTGGAAAAATATGGTATGTGTTTTTTATTTTTGACTATTCGTTCTCCAATTTTGCAAGCAAGTGTATAGTACAAATTTGAAAGGTGTTTATTCATAATGATAAAAAATTTTAGTTATTTTCATCTTTATTGAGTTTTCTCATGGACTAGTATAATTTCAGCAGAATTTAAGTGCATCTATTGGAAATCGGCAGACTGCTCTTCTACTTGGAATTCAGTTGACAAAACTTCTTGTCATTTAAAGGAATATTTCATAACATTACTACCTAGAGTAATTTGTTTCTATGAATAGCCCAAAGAAGGAAAAGGAAAAAGAGAAAGAAGAGGGGAATAAAAAAAAAGCTGAGGAAAATTATTTCCCTATGTCTAGAATAAAGATATTTCATCAAATGTGGCAAACATCATGCAATTTCATTTAAATTTTGGTATATTTGGATCCTTATAACAATTTTTGCCTCACAACTACTATACCAAATATGGAAAATCTAATTTCTTTTGGTATTAGTTTGCTTTGGTGCTAAATAGTCTCTAAAGTAAATTGATCCCAGCCATACGTGGATACTTATCTTCTTCTCCCACCAAAGCACTAACTTTTCTTATTTATCATTAAATCAGGGGTGGGAACACAGTAGGCACTCAATAAATGCACACTGAAAAAAAATGAGGCCTATTTCAAATGGTTTTAGTTAGTAAAACTGCTCAACAAGGTCAGTCCTGGCCTGCTATCACATGAACCACTTTATCTCCAAGTCACCCAGATAACTGAGAAGAGCCACCATGGCCTCTTGCTTCAATCATCAATCCAGTCCAAAAAAAAATAGGTGCTTTTCATTTCAAGCTGTACTATAGATATCTAGATTCTGAACAGCATTGCATTAAAGAATGTAATTGAAACTGAAGATATATTTATTTTAAGTACTTTGAGGGCGCTTAATCTCAGAAAAATCCAGTGATCTTCTCAAAAAATGTCCAACTGATAATTTAGCCCAGCACTAGCATGAGAATTCAATTCATGAAACACCATGATTTTGAAGAGTCATCCCTGAGATACTGTTTTCTAATTTAATGCTTAAATTAGAAAATAAGTATAACATCTAGCAAATAATTAAATCTTAAAATGTCACCGAGTTTTAAAATAGCGGAAATAACTTTCAGTAAAAACACAGAGCAAAATTCCAAAGGCCAGACACTCTTACTGTGGAATTAGAGCATACATTCAAACCTGCAAATACATTTGTAGTTACTTCTTACCTTAAACACATTGATAGGGAGATCAATGACCACATAGATAAGGTCTCCAAGGGCAAGGCTAGCTATCAGTGCGTTGGGGCCATTCCTCATACACTTGTTCTGGTAAATGATCCTGAGCAGAGTTGCATTCCCCACCATTCCCACGATGAAAATAGTACAAGATATCACAGTGTTAATGTATTTGAAAGCTGAAGTAATTTTAGTCTGCTGTGGGCAATAGTTGTGCATTGAACCGTTGCTGGGGAGGGCCAAATTTGTGGGTCGATGGGTAGTCACCAGGGAGTTGACCTCTGTCCCCCGGAAAGTGGTAAAGTCATCCACAGGATTGCTTAGATTTGTGCTGTATCTCTCAGGATTGTCACTGATTACACATCCGGCCAGTGCCAGCCAAAAGGATGCTCTGAGGCAAAACATTTCCATCTTGATGCAAATTTGAAGAATAGTCTTAGTGTATCGCTTTTACAACTCTATTTTTTTTTCACCTGAAAAAAGAATGGAGAAAAATTATTCTTATGACAAAATCCAGCTGTCAAAATGATGGTAATTAATGATTATTTACTGCTTTAATTAAAATGCAGAATATTTGGTAATTAGATAAGATAAATCTATCTCAGGTTGCCTCAGAGCAGAACAAAACTAGAAAAGACCAAAAACCTCACAGGGCAAGATTTCTCCCTCTCCCACCCCCAACTGCATCTCATTTCTTCACATAGCTAAGCTATACTTATAACTAACTCATGATATGGGTGAGGATATGACTATTTCCCTTCAAGTGGTAGTTATATTTTTTCCCCACCCAGATTAATGAAAATATGACTTACAAAAACCTTCTAGAATCGAGATACACAATTTTGTGTAAAACTGAAAGTGAAAACGCCTTATACATCTATTATAGATGTAGCATAAAATAAAACTATCAAATTCTGTAATTAAAAGTCTAGTATTCCAAAATGTGTCCCATTTTGCACATGGTAAATAATGAACACAGAACAGAATGTGGTAGCCTTCTAAGATATTAAAAAATGTTGGATTTAAAACCAGAACTCTGGTTACCACCACCAATATGTTTAACAATCTTAGTTTCAATTTAAAAAATTATGTAATTGAGAATGACAGAATATTTATTTTGAAAACCTAGACTGATGTGTAAAATCTTCATCTCCTAACAGGAGGTTTTTGTTATTTCATACATTAGAAATTATCATCACGATATTTGTCAATGAGAGCAATAGGAGTTTTGCAGACTGGTCAGGCTGTTGGATTTTCTAAGGGATATCTGTCCCTATGCTCTTTAAGACCTCCTATGTGTATTATGTGTCAGTCACTGTGCCGAATACATCATATGTGCAATGTCACTGAATCCCTACTATGGTCCTGTGAAGCAGATGTACATTCCATCAGGCAGACGGGGAAATGGAGGCTTGGAAGACAAGCCTCTGGTCATAGGTAGTGGTGCCAAGGCAACATTTCTAAGGTAGATTAACCACTAGACCATCCTGTCTCTCATTCTCATGCTTCATTTGTATCTAGAGTGTTTAAAGGAAGTCTCCTGTGTGTAGATGAAGCAACAGACTAGGGGTGCTTAGACATTTCAAAAGACCTCTTGCCCCCTTGCAAAGAGCAACTGATTCCTCTTTACCCAGCTAGTTGCGCTTTCTCTGTTAATCCTTGGGAAAACAACGGAAGTTGGTGGTGCCAGAATTATCAATCAAAAGTAATAAAAATGGCCCCTCTCTTTTCAATATTTTGTAAATTTCCTGTTCCTTGGGCTTTTATTAATCTTTAAATGAAAGCCATAACCTCGTTTATCTCATGGTGTGTGTGTGCATCTATGACATACACACTCAGGTTCTAATGTAATTTTTAAAACTTGTTCCTTTTCGAGAGATTGTTCAAGATTGCTCATGGCCACTTTTAGGAATTTCGACAGTTATCACAAGAAATCACAAAGCTTATGTTTAGTCACCTAGTCACCGTAGCTATAAAATAAGATAGAGTCAAGTAGTAGAGAAGGGTTAACACTAAATTGCAAGCATTGAATACTTTGCTTTCCCCCAGGAATCTAAAATAGATACATGTACTAACTATATGTGTACCTATTATCGGACTTGAGCTTTACAACTGTGACAGGTAGAAGCAATGTCTCATTTTACTTGAGAGACACTCTTAAAGAAGTGAAGTGACTATGTCAACCAAGAAGTGGCAAATGGCTATAATATCTCCCAATTTGTTTATAGACTTAACTTACTTTGAGTAGATGATAAAAAATACCATTTTTTTCAAAACTAGGGATATTCTGTGTACCTGCCAGTTTTTTACCAGGGTGTAGTGTGTTTAATTAGTTTGCATTTTTTTTTCCTGCTTCTTATAGTTTGGAGTATCTGACCAAATATCAGTAATCTACAAATGCCACCACTTCCATCCTGAAGTGGAAAGCAGGATCCTAAGAACAAAGCTTATAGCCCTCCTCCTCTTTGGATCATGGAGAGTAGTGTAAAGAAGTTCTTTAACATCTTGTGCTGCCTAGTAACTAGTCTCTCAGTTTTCCAATTGGAATGGAATATTCAGTAATAGTTTTCATAGAAATGAAAGACAAAGGCCTTTTCCAGAAATGGAATGGCTCCTCCCCAGTAGAGTCAGCAAGGAAGATGTTTCATGAGCTGACCTGGCTATCACAGGCATCTTGCCACTCATCAAAGTCCCTCTAGTGCTTTGAACATTAACGCACCAGTTTGATTGGTCAGCTGATTATGGCACGAGTTAACAAGGTCAAGGCTGGGGGTTCTTATCATTAAAACCATCTTCCTTCCTTCCAACAATGACACTACCCTAGAAATAATTTCTGATGACATTTCTGTCAACTCTCCACACACATTAAGCTGCAGAGTTAAGGAACATTTGTCAAAGGCATGTGGATACCATATTGTCATTCAGTAAAAAATGCCAAACCAAATGAAAGAATCCTTTCAAATGCATGCTATTCCAAGGATGGATCTGGAGCTTACTTTCATGTATCTGAGAGAAGCTGGGCTTTGAATCATCAGCCATAACCATCAGTCACAGCTCTATTAAGTATCTTAGTTTCAAACCTAAAGGACATGGTCAATAGATTCAGCATTCTTCCTATTTTGGGTTGAAGAGTTTTCTGGAGTGCACAGGATATTATTAAGGAAAAAGACTGAATTCTCATGATTACACTTTAACCATTTAACCTATCGGACTCTCAGGATCAAAGTTCACCTGTATAAGTAGTAATTTGGAAATTCCAACCTTACCAAAATGGCACAAGTTTAGAGCAGGCAATTTACATGACAGGATTGCCAAGGTGTTTCTCAATTTGCTGACACTTAAAACAGAAGAGGTGGTGGTGAGGAATCATGGACAAGGACAAGTAGCGACAAAAATTAACTGGGAACTTTTGAGAAATTTTCTGTGGTTTTGCTCTCTGGGTAAGAAATTAGCCACATTGCCTGGCTTTAATGTTTCCAGCTCTATCAGGGGAAAGTCATTAGGATGGTGTAAACAGAGGCTGATTATCTAAAAACAGTCCTTGTTTTCTGCATGTGAAAGGCAACAAGTGGCCTTTAAAGGACAACACAGAACAAAACTCTCAGACCTGGGACAGGCAGGTTTCCAAAGCTGCACTGGGGGTTTTCTCAAAAGACAACAGTGTCTTGCACGGGTGCCCTTGGCTACTCTCAGGCTGTGTGGGGAGAACCAGAAGTGAGGTAACAAGTATGCTTTGGAGCAAGCGACCAGGGCATGTGTGCAAAGTTTCGGCACGCTGGCGGAAAGGGGGACACCCAGGGAGAACCATTTGGCTTCCTTTTACCAAGAATCCAAATCTCTTCTGGAGAGGCAAAGTGCTTTAGATCAGTTCTCCAAACTCCAAACGTTCACTCAGCGCACCCCTCCCAGGAGGGCGCCCGTTTCACCAGGCGTCTCAGGCAGGTGGGTGCCAGCCTCAAGCTGCCAGGTGGACAGGCCAGTACGCTCCCCGCTCCTCCCCACTGAGCGACCCAACCGTCTCCACGTCCCCGCCCCAGCCTCGATCCCCAGAAGGAAAGCCTAGCACCGACCGTGGAGCTCGGCGGGCGCCGCTGCAGGGTTCGCGCAGCGCCTGGGCCAGAGGAAGCCGGAGCCCGCGAGGGTGGATGGCGCGGAGGGTGGCCGGTGTCCCGGGCTGCGGCGCGCCGGCGGCCCCAGCTGCAGGGCTGTCTTGGCTGCGGAAAACTTATCCGGTGGGGCAGGGCTTCTCTGGGGAGTTCTCGCCGAGCCTCCAGCCTCTGGCGATGAGCCGGTGGGAAGGATGAAGCCTCCCTGCCTCCTCTCCACGATCGCCAGGACAGACCAGAGGGATGACTGTACGCGCGCGCAAGGACTCGCAGGAAAAAGAAAACTCCGAAGGAAGGAACACGCCTCCAGCCTGTCCTCCCCTTCTCCAAAGCTCCCAGCCCTTCTCCACTGCGGGACCGCAAGAGCGTCCTCCAGCCCTCACTAAACTGCACGGAGCTGCCGCCCCCTTCCCGGCCCCGAAGGGCAGGAGACTTTTAACTATTTCCTTCCTGAAGTGAAGCTGGGGGTGGGTGGAGGAGCCCGGGGAGGGTTTAACAGACAAGCCCGGAATAATGAAAGGCCTGGCGAGAAACTCGGCCCCTTGGTCAGTGAGTGCAGGCGCTTTGATCTGGGATGGAGCAACTCCACTTTGCTTGTGGGCTCCTTCTTTAGTGCAGAGGAAGTTAAGAAGCTCAACTGGAAGGCAGGTTACTAGATCCAGTAAAGACTGCTTGTATTTTGTCCCTTGAAGCCAGCACCCTAAGACTGCATACCTCTAGCCCAGGAGAGTCAGTGACTGGGTGAAATTCTCACTCCAAAGGATGAGGATGCAGATCCTATAGAGGGTGGGGCTCAGTGTCTTTACCCCAGATTGGGGGTGGAAGGGGTGGAAGAGAAGATGAGCGGCAAAGGCCATTGTGGGCTCTTCAGGGAAGCCTGACTTGGGGTCCCTCGGTGGACAGCTGGTTTCCGCGGAGTGTGGAACTATGAGGCTGGGGCACTCTGGACGCACCTCACAGACTGCTCTGGTTATTGCAGTTGAACAAGTCACCAGTCACCCACGGTTAAACACAGTGGCTTAAAACAATGTCAGTCACTTACTTTGTTCTCATCTGCTCTCGGCAGGGCTTGTCTGGAACTCATCAGTTTTGCTCCATGTCACTAGGACTGGGGGATGCACTTCACTTGCTCTGTGTTGAGGGTTAGTTTTTCTCCAAGTGTGCTGACGAGTTTCCAAGTGTCCAAAGAGACAGGAAGTGGAAACTGACAATCTCTTGAGATCTGGGCCCAGAAACTGGTAGAATGGCACTTTTGATCAATTTTATGAGTCAAGCAGTCATTGATCCCAGACTCAAAGTGAGGTCTTAAAGAACCCACCTGCCAATTCAAGGAATGTTGAAAAATTTAGGGATCATTTTGTAAAACCATCAAAGAGACCCACAGAAAACCACCATTGAAAGGGTTTCTTCTAGTCATCTAGTTCTGTTGGATTACATATCACCCTGTGCACTGATCTAGAGTATCTATAGCTTCTGTGTGAGGGTGGGTTAACCAGCCAGAATAACAAATAGCTTTTTAAAATGCCTTAGTTTATATTAAAAGAAGGGTTGACGTTTTGGGCACATGGCTTGGCAAGCTGACAATCTTTTCCAGGAAGAAAAAGTGACTGCCTTCTCCCAGAAGAGGCCGTGCCCAGCTTGGGATGTGACATATGCTGGATTTCAGCCTTTCCTTGCTCGGTGACCAGACACACTTGGACAGTGTACACCTATGTAAGTGAACTTGTTGGTCTAGCTAGTCTTTGTCAGAGTACATCCCTAGCCTCTATCTCTTTGATCCCCAGGGTGGTAAAAGATGAGTTATTAAAAATTCTTCCTTCACATCCATTGGGAGTGTTATTGTCTGAACAAAACAAAACCAGAAAATAACTTGTATTAGCAAGGATGCTGAGAAACTGGAACTCTTGTCTATGGCTGGCAGGAATGTAGGCGATGCAGCAGCCGGGGAAGATAATATGGTAGTCCTCAAAAAATTAAACATAAAATCACTCTGGTTATATAATAATTAAAAGAATAATTGAAAGCAGGGATATGAACCGATATTTGTACACTCATGTTCATGATGGCATTATTCTCTGTAACCAAAAGGTGGAAACACCTCAAATGTCTATTGAAGAATAAATGGATAAACAAAATGTGGTACACACAGCCAGTGAAAGATTATACAGCCTTAAAAAAGAATAATACTCTGATAGATATTACAACAGGAGCTTCAAAGACATATGCTAAGTGAAATGAGCCAGACTCAAGGACATATATTATATTGCTAAAGGATAAAAACACAACAATTTATTTAATTGGCTTTATTTTTGATTCTAGAATCAGGCAACATTTTATTCCACAAAACAGAATATGTCTTCTCATGGGCTGAGCGGAAGAGCTTGGTTGTGTAGACAGAGAAAGGTTGAAGAAAGCTGAAATGAAAGAACAAAAAGTGGGTTGGCCATTTCAAAGTTATTTTCTTTATAAGTTGAAGACAGGAGACAAAACAATGTGAAAATAACAGATGGAGTCAAGTTACTTCAGGTTATCTATTTTTTGTATGTCTGAGAGAGTTAAAGCAGGGAGGACTTCATTATCATGACAGTGACATTTTTCTATAAGCAGTTAAGTTTTGGCTTGGTGATCTGAAATTTTAGCACAGTGACTCCATTTTGCTTTTGGCCTGGTCTGTTCAAGAGCTTAATTCAAAACAATAGCCTTCTGTAATTTTTATTTAATACTATGATTATGCTTATGTGAAAGAACTAGTTTGTCAAATTCGTAAAGACAAAAGGTTGGTAGTGATTACCAGGGGCTTGGAGAATGGGGACTTAATCGCTTAATGTGTTTAAGAGTTTCAGTTTGGGATAATGAAAAAATTCTGGAGGGTGATGGCGGTAAGGGCTATACAACAATGTGAATGAATATCCTTAACACCAATAAACTGTATACTTAAAAATGACTCAAATGACAAATTTATATTATTCATGTACTCCCATAATAAAAAAAATTCTTCCTAGCATCAGGAACATTTGCCTCCTTGTTACCTGTTAATCTGTCTTCTAAGCTCATAAAATGAGTTTACTGCCTCTTTTAAGAAAAATTTTTAAATAGAAAAGATGTGTTTATGTGACTGACTAGCATTTGCCTGCCTGCCTTTGTAGAGATTGGGGTTGGTTTATTCTAGATGAGAACAGCATGAATATTCCTTAGTTGTTGGAAATTTATCTCATCTTTTTGCTTCACTTTTGGGAAAATGACTTCAGTGGACCCAAACCAATTTTTGGCTAAGTTGACTTCACCTCCAATAACCCCTTTCCCCATAGCTAAGACTTAATATGCTTGCCCAACTTCTATATTCCCTGCTAAGTATTTCCAAAGACTAAGTTTTTCAACTTGACTTCCAAAGGTTACTTCTTTTCCCTGGAAGGTGGGTTGGAATTTGCAGTTTTTCTGGTTTCAGGGAAACTTTCTTGATCCCACTTGACTCTGGCTCAACAGCTCATTAAGCGGAGCATTAGTGTAATGGTATTTACCATGACTTCTCTCAGCATCCTGTCATATTGATTTCATGAACAATAATTGCTGTAGATTAAGAAGTACTCAAGATAGCACTTAAAAACCAATTTTTCACATGTCCTTGGGGCAAATGTTCTTCTAAATTTAAGTTTCTTGGTTCAAATTTGCAAATCCATTTCATAATTGCTAACTCCCAATATCCTCCAATTTGAAATACAATGAAAGTCCTGAGTCTTGTGCCATTTGCTGAGAATATTGCAGGCAGTTTTGAGCTCCCTGGGGGAAAGAAAACAGGAAGGATTCAGAGAAGAACTGCAAACATGAAGGAAGGCTGGTAAGTGGGTTGTGAGAGGCAAGGTGGAGAACTAGAGAAATGGACATCAGAGACATGAGACCTGAAACTGCCATCGCAGCCTTCTCTCTGGCCAGTGAAGTGACCAAGACTATTGGCAGCAAACATAACTGCTGTAAAGATGAAAAGACAAGCCCTGTGAGTTGAAGGTGAGTTTTTAATTGAAACTCCCTATAGGTGATTTGTTTTTAAGAGGAAATACTCATAATCATTGAGCAACTTGAGGGTTAGGGACTCTGACCCCGCTCCCTGACCCACAATAGAAAATTCAGGTCTGACCTTCTAAAAAAGTTATTTAAGTCCTTTATTAACAGGTGCTTATGGTTTGTTGACTGTTCTTTGAAAAAGTCAAGTTCTAAATTTTATTAAAAGTTAAAAATGAAGTTCTTAAAAATCTCAACTTGAGCAGATATGAAACAATTAAAAAAAAATTAAAGGCATATTGAGAAAAACTAAGCTTAAGAAAAACCTCACATATTTTATTACCAGAAAGGAATGTCTTTAGATAACAATAATAAAAAGCACATGGTGCCTGGACAATGCACAGGATTCTAAGAATCTGATCAATGGGCAGAAAAAGCATTTTAAAGTCTGCTCCAGAGTATTGCAGGGATTTCATATTCATTTCCTCTTGTTGCATGACTGGATGATGGTGGAGATGGTGAGCTGATGTTTAAGCGGCTCCATCCTGCTCATCCTCAGAGTGAAGGAGATCTCAGATGGTGCACCAGTTGCTTCTCCTCTTTCCCTTCTCTGGCATCTGTAGCATAATCAGAGTTAAGCAGTATGGATTTTCCTCATTGCTGTCCTCTCTGGGCTGTTGGTAGTGAGGATGGCCCTCCTGTGGAAAACAGCTATAACCCTGAAAACATTCCATCTCCCTGGTCTATGTGGTGGTCCTGCATTCTGGTTGTTGACATTCTCCATCACTTTTCCCTGCATAGGAGGGGTCTAATACTGAGGTCGGCTCCCATGGGGTCTTTGGAAGGAGTAAGGTGGGAACCCGTGCCTCTGGTAGGGCTGGTTTTGTTGGACTGGCCATCTCTCCTTCTTTCCTTACTCTCGCTATTCTGGCAACTCTGCTGGTAATTGCGCTGAGGATCACCAGGGTAGTGTCTGTAATGGTTGTAGTCTGCTTCACGTTTAATGCCTTGGGCTGGATCTCCACCAGGTTCTCTAACATCTGTTGCCTCCATAGCCTTTTCTTCTTCAGCAACATCAAACTCTACAATCTCCCCCTTTATTTCTACTGTACAGGTCCTTCCTGGGGTTATTCTATTTGTGGCTGTTTCATGTCATTCCTGTGGATGGTTGAACCATGTATGCTTCTTACATTGAGCCATTTTATTGTTCTCAATACCTTCCTTGCAATGACCTTCTTGTCCCAACCAGCCAATGCCACCAGACCAGCAAGAGGCCACTTGGGCCACTGCTCTCTGTATTGCTGTCTGTGGTGCAGGTGTGTAGGTCACTAGGCAGCAGTGGGCAGCTCTGGGCTTTCTGAGTTCCATGC